AGGCAGTATCACTATGGAAGTAGATTGCCCCATCTTTCTTCCGAGGAGTGGCTGGTGGGTTTGAACCACCAACCTTCTGGTTAGCAGTCAAGTGCCTTAGCCACTATGCTACCAGAGCTCCTGAGTGCCTAAGGTATTTGACTGCTAACCAGAAGGCTGGTAGTTCAAACCCACCAGCCATTCCTCGGAAGGAAGGTTGGGCAATCTACTTCCATAGTGAAACCACCTTGTAAACCCAAGGAGAGGTCGCTATGAGTTGGGTCTGACTCAGTGGCACATAACAACAACAGTCTTAGGCACTATGCCACCAGAACTCCCACCACATACCATAATTACATTTAATCTGTTTTTTACAGAACAGGGCAGTTGGGAAACCTGACAGCTCCTTGTAATTCTCACTGTAAATGCTCATCTTCATTTTATTCTTCTATATGTGGAAGAGACAATATTGAATATTTCTCCCCCTGCTTTGCAGGCTGTACAAGTTCAAAAATATTTGCAGCTCAAAAGGTAATTCTTAAAACTTATATTTCTTCTTCTCCAGTAAAATATTAAACTTATAGATGATGTGTAAGTTTTCTTCCTAGATCTCTATAAAAGCTTTTCTGTTATTTTACTTTTTATTTAAAGGCAATAAACAAATGAACAATAACAACAAACAAACAAAAAAAAAATACTTTGTTTTCTGTTGCTGTACTGCAACAGACTTATCACAATTGGGGGTGGAAAAGAAGAGATACTCCTACATTAGAACATGCCTCTGTATATTACAACATCTCAGCTTTATGATTTTAAAGCAACAGATGACTACCCCTTACCATAGCAAAGTTGGAAATTTTATTTCTGAGAAAGGTAGTCTAAGAGAACATTTTTCTTTTACTTATGTTGTTTGTTTTAATGCTATTCTACCTATCAGCAGCATCACCTAATCCCAGTCTTGAATCAAATCTTTCTGACGCCCAAAGGTTGTCGGATACCATCTTCTAGTCACCTTTCATTAAGTTTTTACTTCTGATGAGAAGTTGTCTATTCCAGACCTTCTTGCTGTGACTCTATTTCTGCTCCACATTAACCGAAATGTGGCAATAATTCACTTTATATTTTCCAGAATTCACCATACACAGAAGGTATTTATGAGCTTATCAGACTTTCCAAAAAGATAAGAGAGGTAGAGAAGGTTCATATAGCAATATTACAAATAACTCAAAATAGAAATATATTATCCCTTTTGTCCATCTTCCTTTACATAAATTGCCATTCATTTCAAAACTTTCTTATTTGTTCATTTTTGATGCTACTAACATTAAAATATTTTACTCCCCTGGGTTTCTGTCCCCCTTCAGACTCTTTGTTTTACAGAGCAATTTTTTGTACTATCACAGACTACCACTTGTTTGACTCTGGGCTAACTTTTTTTTTTTTTT